GCATGGACTTTGCCTGTAGGAGATTTTACACGATTCTTCTTACTTTCTTCCTCTCTTTTTTCGCTTTTATTTTTTGTTTCGATTTTATATCCAAATTTAGGATATTTGAATTTTATCCCTCGTTTTTTAATTTTTTCACCTTCAGTCTTTACATCTGCGTTTTCTTTTATATTTATTTCTGCTGTATATTCTTTCTCTCTGCGTTTCTCCTTTTTTACTTTTTTTCCATTTTTACTCTGTGTTGTGTCTTTTTTAGCCTTTTCGTCGGTTTGAATTTTTCTCTTTTTTAATCGTCCATTTGTTGTTTTTTTCTGTTTTCCAATGATTTGCATTTCGTCAGTTATCTCATTGTCTCTAATGATTACAATATCCTTACCTCTACGATTAACATGTTTTTTCAATGTAAGTCTTGGTGAACAACCGGTTTTTCTTCGTTTTTTCTCATTCTTATTAAACTCATTTTCAACAATTGGCTGCTGATCCACTGTCATTAAGATTTCATTGTCGTTGATCGTCTTCGACTTATCGAACTTGTTTAATTTTGGTTTCATAAAATGTAATTTATGCTTTAAAGACATACCACTGCCAGTTTTCGATTTGGTTTTTAACAATGAATGCTTTGTTTTAACTAATGGTTCATTATTGATCTCCGTGTGTATATTACATAATTCCAGATTATTCGGATTTGCATCCGTTTTGGCGGTATTATATTTGGATACAAAATTTTCATAACCTTGATTACTAGTATTAATATGATAATCACCGACTAGTCTTTGAGTATCATTTGGATTGCTTAGATTATCATGAGAATGTAATAAATATTTATAACTTACCATGGATTTGATAGTATTATTATTATTATTATTATTAATATTTTTAGATTCCTTATTTTTAGAATGATTAAAATCCAAATTATGTTTATTTAATTTAGGTGATGATTCTTCACTTGACTGTACATAATAAACTGGGACGTATAAATTACTACTCAATGGTAATTTAATTGGTATGTACATGGAATTATCTAATTCTGTACAAATATCTTTTTCAATACTAGAATGATAAATTTCATAATCATCTGTATGTCGATAGGATGATTTGATTTTTTCGTTATCTCCACCGGTGGCATCATCATATTTGACTTTTTTCAACGATTCATAATCAGAACAACATTCCAATGGAGGTGTTTGACTTGTTTCCCAAACATCTGATAATTTCGATTTGATACATTCGGAATCTGTCAATGATTCCGACAATTCACATGTAAGATTTGTTTTTAACTTATCAACATCATCATCCTGTAGCATTTTCTTTAAGTCTTCTTCTTCTTGTTCTTTGATTGGTTCATCAATTTGAGATGATTGTTTCATATCAACTGGATTCAATTCGGTAGACATTGTTGTTTAATTGATAGGGATAGGATACTATTTTTCCAGGTGATTACGTCATAGATTCCAGAGACTGTTCACACATATAAATGTATGTATATAGATGTATATATATATGTAGAGAGAGAGAGAGAGAGCGATTATTGATAATAAATTTTTGTCAAATAACTGTTGATATATGAAATAATAGTGAAGGCATATTCTATCTCCATAGTAGTACTAGTAGTAGATCAATTCAAATTTGGCATACTACAACAATAAAATGACATTTATAAATATATATAGATAGTGGAAATCAAGATTTATTTATTGAATGAGGAAATCGATCGATTTGAGTAGCGCATCAACCAATGGTGTCAATGTTCAATTTAAAATGATGAATAGTCTCACTTATCCGTTTGTTGTATTGGATCATTTTCGATTTGACGACATAAAAAATATATGATTCCACTAAATATATATGAGTTGAATACAAATTTAGAAATTGATATAATTGATATTAGAAAATACAAAATACAAAATGCAAAAATAAACAGAAAACAAAAATAAGGCGTTGAAAAAAATTCGAAAGTGTGCTTGCTGCCTTGTTGACTAAATTAAAACAACAACACAAATTGCCTTATATTGTTGTTGTCGTGGTTGTGGTTGACTGAAACTCCTTATCCTGTTGTGGTGTATGGAGACGTGCATTATGTGTGAAACCTTCACAGTAGAATTGAATGAATAAAATAATCTTTTAAGATTGAATGTTATAACAATCACAGAGATAATCGTTGATCTTAGAAAAATATAAAAACTAATAATATTATTGCGTAGGTGTTTTTTTTGGATAACTAAGAAACTGACCTTTCTTCACATAAAGTTTGTCAAGATAAAAAAAAACACAGCAACATACATAGAAACCCCTCCTCCGCTTGGATATATATACTAGAGATTGTGTTTGTTTTTAAATGGTCGTTGTTGTTGTTGTTAAATCCAATAGTAGAATAATAAGTAGTAGTAACCTATCATCAACTGGAAAGTGAATGTAACTTCTTAATTTGCCTGTTGTATATGATTATTATTATTACCCAATTTTTGTGATTACATGTGTGTAGTGTGTTATTTTTACCTATCACTGCGTGTGTGTGTGCATGCTCATTTCTATTGGTATTGGACAAAAATTCTTACTTACAATTGTATGGCCATTATCAACTTAGAAAAGTAACCAACCAACCAACCAACTAGGTAGAACCTAATCAGAAAAAAAGCAATATGAATTTAGTAAACAACATTTCAATGGATTGACTGACAGACACACCAAGTAGATTGATAGACATAACAATCATGAATTTAATCCAATCCCATTCATCTTAGGCTAATAATCATCTCAGAACATTTTCACGTTTTATCATAATAACCTATTAATTAGTACACTGTAATAGTGTAATAATTGACTAATAATCATTGAACTAGCTATTTGGAAGAAGATGTCAATTTTAAGATCGGGATAATTGAAATTTCATTTTTGAAATAAAATTTATTCTTATCAAAATAGGGCTTTAGCTAGCTAGAGAACAAATCTCGATTTCAAATAATCATTGAATCTAAGAAGTAATGAACCGTTGTATTTTCCTACTATGGAACTCTTTGGTAAAGTGTCTCCATGATTCATCCACTCATAGATCGAATCCAAGCTAGTTAGATCTCCTCGTAGTAATAGTGCCTTAACATTTAAACCACTGAATCAACTTTCAATGGTTCATTTTCTCTGACATTAAGCAAATTTTGATAAAGACGAAGTTATCATTCACTACCAATAAAGCATAATACTTATCTCATACCTGAAACTAAATATAAATCTACTGGACAACTGAGTTCAGTTTTAAAAGCTGTAGAAATGTGTTGTCGTTCGGATAGTTGATTAGAGAAAGAAAAATCGATAAGTAAGTCAGTTCTTGATAATGAATTGGAAAATGTTCAGTGAGCGAAATTTTCGAAAAAAAATGTATTAAAAACTTTACTATTGTTTTCTTTTATCGTACTATTGATCTTTCCAGACCTAGTTCGATTTCCGTCTTCGATTCGGCGCATAAAGTGGTTAAAGAAACCAGTAATGTAATCAGTCAGTCGGAGTTGTTGCTTTCTAAAAGTTGGTACAGTAAGAATCCGACTATATATATATATATATATATATATATATATATATATATATATATATAGTATTTCAACTCGTTTTTTAAACTTTTAACAGGGTTTTTTAAAATAACCACAGCGTTTTTTAAAATTATTTTGAAAAAATAAAATAAGAACTACTTTTAATTAAAATCTTCTTTAGCAATCGCTTTTAAACAGTTGCGACGTACGTGTCTTGAATAACCTTGTAAATCATCCCTGGTTAATTGATTTACAGAATTTAGTATTAGATTTATAAAAGATTCGTTGGATCCGCTCGCCAGAGATCTTCTTACAATGGATTCAAGAGAAAGGCCTATAGAAAATATGTTTTCTATTTTTTCTCGAATTTCTACCATAGTTATTAACGGGTTTAATTCTATCAATTCTTCAACAAAATTCATAATATCACCGCATATCTTCTTATTTGATGGTTTTCCTGTTTTTTTCTTCTCAACTCGCGATTCCTTTTTATACAACCTTATAATATTTGTAGCGGCCTGATAGTTTACATCTGTAAGAAATGCCGCATCCTTGACGCTGTATCCATCTTCAGTAACTTTTTTTTTATAAGGCTTTTTCTTTTTTCATTCGAAATCAAGTTGTTTTTTCTATTTATTTCTGACATTCTAAGGATTACAAAAAATTTTAAAAAACGCTGTTAAAAGTTTAAAAAACGAGTTGAAATACTATATATACCGACAATCTCACAAATTTCGTTTTGTGCTTAAAACTGACTGAAGAATCAGAGGTTAGTGATCAGTTGTCGGATTCTAATATAAGGCTCTGTCTGCTAAACTGCATACTAAAGAGGATCTAAACTTGAAAACTTTCAAATCATTCAATGAATATAATACTTTCAAACTACTAAGTTAGGATACAAGTAATTAGTGTAACCAAATGGTAAGTCATTGTTTGACATAGTCCTTATCTCGGGTCTGTGATTGGTGGCTCACTATTTTCTATTCTGAATCAAAGAAGCTCTAATCATAGGGGTTTAAAATGTTTTTCCCTTAGTTTATTCAAAATTTTTAAACAAAATATATTCCAACAGGATAGTGTTCAGAATGAATTGAGGATTTAATGCTCTTTCCATATGGCAGAATTCTACTTTAGTTCTTGCAATAAATCAATAACAAGTTTGATAAAGTGGTGCTTCCAGGTTTCTAATGGTGGTCTAACATTGATCGATTCATGGTTTCAAAAAAAATGTGTAAATTAACAATCTTCACAACCCCGTAATGCAATTACCTGTGTTCACTAGTGACTAGATCTGTAAGGAATTTTCTCCGAGTTCTGGTGGGAAGACGTGACCAGTGAAGTTCAACCTGTTCGGGTGTAGACAGTAATTACCGAAGACTGTGTATGAGGTTGCGCAAATCCATGAATTTGATCAAGTCAGACATTAACACCGTCAAGAACTGGCTCGGTGGTCTAACGGTTAGGGTGTTCGCGCACAAAACGAAGGTCCTGGGTTCGAATCCTGCAGGGTGCAGGAGTCGTGAGTGCGCATTGCTGGTGGGTCCCATACCAGGACGAAACGGCCGTGTTTCAGTGCTTCCAGGTTTCTAATGGTGGTCTAACATTGATTGATTCATGGTTTCAAAAATGTCTAACTTAACGATCTTCACAACCTCGTAATGCAAAGTGGTATATAATTTGCACTGTAGTTATCACACATATTCTGTTATTAACATGAGTAAATGAAACACGGTTGAAAATTTTAAATGGAAGTTGATACAATTGAATATAACAACATAACTTTTGTATTTTCCTTCCAGTTGAAGATAGTTTCAGATGGAGAGATGCCAATGGAATCTTTCAATTATTTTACTAAAGAAAATAAATAGTCAATGAATATGATTTTATGACATGAGAGTGTAATTGTACTTGAAAATTCACTGATAGTTGAATTAATTACATTTACAAATTGCAAGTAAACTCTCTGTCATGAAAAACGGGTACTAGGTAGGGATGGCAAATCAAAAGATGAAGTATTGAAACTTCATCAGTTGAGGTGGTAGGGACAAGTGTTACGTATGCCCAGCCACCGATTGCCATGAAGAGAGATATTTTGTGGTGTAGGAGTAGGTTGGGAGAAAGCTAGGGACAGACAAACCAAAACATGACACAAATCCATGAAGTCACTGACAAGTGGACTGAGTCATGTTGGTAAATGTAGGCTATTTGGTTGGGGCCCACGAGATGATAGTAATCGATAGTTAGATACCTTGAACGACATGGCTCAAAATTGTTTGCAATGGCGTAGGTGCATTCATGCATAATCTTCTCTGAGATTCTAATCTTCTGAATTCCTCATCATCTCTATCTTTCACTTTCTAAATTTACCTCACTGAATTATACTTCTTGAATAATATCTTCGATCCCTAATATTCTCCTTTACCGTTAATTCTTCTACTATCTCCACCATTATGGGATTTGAACAGACTGTGGCGTCTCTGTGCTAATGCGGTATGGCAACCTGAACTGAAGTACGTACCTACGTACGAAGTTCTACGTTGTCATTGACTGACTGACTGTCTTTGTCATGGAAGTAAAGATTACCAATTTCACATTATTAATAATTCAGAATACAAATTTTCAAATTATAATTTGATGGGCAAATTTTTACTGTATAGAGGAGAATAATAAAACATTCTATAGGCGAATGTGTTTTATGAAATACGGTAAATTTATCTAATCGAAGTTTTACAAAATCTGATTAGTATTATGAGTTAGTTATAGAACTAAATACCGAAAGGCTAACTCATCGTCATCAATGCATATCGATTCAATCCCAAGATGATTAAAAGCCTCAATGGCTACAGCTTATTCGAATATTTGAGTCTGAATCC